CGCAGATTAAAAAAAAAAAAAAAAAGCTTTTCTCTAAGCGTGATTTAGAAAGTACTTTGCTGAAAACTCTACAGTCTGAGATGGCAGTGCTGGAACAGAGACAGCATATCTTGTCAGTTGCTTGTGGAGCAAGCAGTAAGGAGTAGCTAGGAGCTGAGGCCATTGTTATCAGTGGTTAGTATTTTCCAGAGAAAGGGCATGACTGCTATTCTGCTAAGTCATAACAATATTGGCTCTGAAAGGAATGCTGGTTAAAGTTAGGGAGATAAACATAAAAACACAATCTTGAAGCCAAGATGAGAACCAGCCAGCCAAGTAAACCTTCTGATGGCTAAAAGGGAAGGCAGCGAGAGGTTGGCTGCAGAGGTGCCCCTATCTTATCCTCCCAAAGGATCTGTGCCCATGCTGTGAATGAGGGAATTTCTCATTCAGCTGTGCATGTGCAGCGCATCACATATTCGGATGTTTCTTCTGAGTGCTGTAAATGACAGCAGAGGGCAAAATACAAAAGGATAGCTAGTTCCTGCAGTCCCACAACTATATGGATTTATCAGATAAGTCAGATAAGGAGATATATACCTACAGTTAATGATTTACAGTTTAATGTTTAATGATTTACAGTTTAATGATTGCCAATTTTTTATTCAATACATTGTATCAGACCCAAAATCTGTGAAAACTCACATTCACAGAAGAAATATTAAAACATTGCCTTGTTCCTTCACTCCCCTATTTATACATAAATGGACTGAGCTAATGTGCTGATTCCAAGTTAATGTGGATTACAACTCCCATCATTCCTAGTTAGTGATGACTTCTGAGGGATTTACCTGGCAGTGATAGGCTAGTACTTCTTTGCACATAACCAAGCTACTCTTCTTACTTCTTCAGTATTTTATACTGGGATTTTGAGATGGTGGTACAGAAAGAATTTCTAACTACTATCCAGTTTAGCCCTTTCCCAGCCTGTTCTTACATCTTCACTGTCACTCTCATCCTGATCTTGCTTCCTCTTCAGTGTTTCTTCTTCCTCCTTTTTGTCTTTTTCTGGCATAGCATCATCTAACCAACTCAGATGCTGTAGAGGGAAGATGTATTCCATTGCCTTCCGAATACCCACTAGAGCCAGCAGCTAGAAGGTGAGATCATCATCACATAAAATTAGTCTGCTTGTAATTATTAATAATTTACATAGTGTTATCACTGCATATAGAACATCTCAGAAGAACATAAAAAATGCATTAAAATGCCCCAAGGAGTTTACAGTCTAAATGCTGAGAAAGAGAATTGGAAGAAAAGCAAAGACAAAGCTAATGAGGGATTAGTATGAGCAAATGCATTTATGTGTCTTTACACTCTGTTTCGGTCTGAGGTGAGAGCTAAAGGGTTGTGCCAAAGATTTCACAGAAAATATGAGTTTTGCACACTGCTGTGACATTTGTGAGCTTTTTCACAGATAGAATTATTCAGATTCACTCAGAGTTGGGTACCACCTGGGTGGGGTCAGGCAACATCTTACAAGACTATCTGACATTCTTTTGAGTTTATGAACGCCAAGGATGTAGTCTATCTCTTAATGGTATGAACTTTGCCACTTGTGGGCAAAATTTATGTCCTACATGGCCCATATGGATAGCCAGGAAGGAGCCATAGCTAATACTTCTTTGAGGGAAAGAGTTGGGTTGTCTGCCCTGAAGAAGATGATAGTATACCCCATTCTGAAGTGGCCATCTCTTGATCTCACCCTTCTTGGGAACATCTTGCCTCCTGAGGTACACTATTTAGGATTATTTTGCTCCACAGGATAA